CTAATCCACTTCTGTGTCGCGACGGGGGCCGCAAAGGTTAGGCCACCGCCTGCTGCTTTCCATCCGCGTCTGTGGCATGTCCTGGCAATTAATTTGCATGCGTAGTAATTTCACAATTTACACTGAAACAAAGCAGATCCCAGGACTCGGTTTTCCCCTCAAAGAAGGATCTCCGAGTGTCTCGACTGCGTGTGGGTTTAATGTGGCGCAACAACGAAATGGGGGACAGATGACAAGGAGGATTTTCCCTCCCTCTCTTCCACTCTGACTGGCTTTCCGTTCCTGGTAAGTTAATCAAAGTTGCTGTTGTCGAGCACTTGGCACTTGAACTGCGCTCACGTTCCCATTCCCATTCCCGTTGCCGTTGCCGGGCAACTGGCCAAAAAGCTGAAAAGCCAGAATGGAAGCTGGAATAAAAGAGATCAGTCTTGGCAAACTTTTCCGGGGAATGAGCCAGCAATATCCTCAAGGGGGAACTTAAAAAGATACTTTTCCAAGGAGAACAATTCTTTAGCCTTTGAAAGCAGAGCAGACCATCCTTTCTTATCGAGAGGAAAATCCCCGAATGTGGGCCAGCCATCAAAAAAGAACAATCGAGAGCTCACAAAGAGAAAGCGCCGTAAAAAGCGCATGAAAATTTGCAGTTGATTTATGTGCAATCCAGAAATTGATTGGCCATAGATGCCGAATAAATATTGTGTATGGAGATAAATCTGTTGATTTAATTGGGAATAAACCAAGAGAGTGGATGTCTGATGGATGTACCCGGGATAAATACGACTCTGAAACCAAAAACCAAAACCAATTGCAACAATGAGGGAAAGTGCCGTCCCGAGGATGCTGTTACCCTTTCCGCAGGATGCAGTGCCTCATAAACCGCAGGCAGGCGCCTGAGGCAGGGTGGGAGCGAGGTAGGTAGTGGCAGTAAAATATGAAAAGCCATAAAGAAAATTCTACACGAAACAAGAACGGAACCCAGACAGAAGCAGCAGCAACAGCAGCCACAAAAGTAACATAATTTTCTGCTTGAAATGCCAAAGCGATTCCCATATTTTGTGGCACACACACACACACAGAGAGAGAGTGAGAGGGCGAATAAGGGGCAACAAAATAAATTAAAAGACTCGGGCGAGATTTATATGCCGCCGCAAAGTATGCAACGAAGGGAGTTTCGAGTGGAGAGAAATTCATTCTCTACAACGATGCAGACGGGGAAAAGTTTGCTCCACCTGAGCGTGGCGGAGTTGTGTGGAAAGTTTTAAGCCCCTTGCCACAACATTAAGGTGAGATGTATGCGCCCCGAGGCATGCAGCATTTTGTATACGACACCCGATTGGCCAGCCGGGCGGAGAGTCCAGGACGTGGCAGTGGACGAAACAGAACGGAACGGAAAGGGCCGGACCGAAAGGGAGAGCTTGTCACGCACGACGGTTTCTGTGGTCTCCCACACACACGGACAGACACAGACACAGACACAGAAAGGATAGGACACACACATGGAGGACATGGAAGGACGTCAATCAATCATGTGTTGGCAGAAGCGAGACAGGAAGAGGTGAGAGCGGTATCTTTGTGTTGGTTTTGGGCTCCATTTCGTCGTTACGTCGCCTGCAACAAATCGCCGTAATGTGCGGTGTTTGCTGCACTTAACGAGTACATTCTGCATTCCCTCTCCCCCTCCCCCTCCCCCTCCTCGTCCCCATGTCCCTGTCTGTGTCCGTGTCCTTTGGGTCCGTTTCGGGGCCCACTTTGCGGTCGGACGGGTGCAATTGGGGCCCATCAATCATGGATCGCTCTCCGATATGCCTCTCAAAATTTAATTGACTTTGATTTTTCGAAAGTTTCGACGAATGTCCAAGTCAGGGGCTGGCTATCTATTTCTGAATCTACTTTCTCAATTGCTCTCATTCGTATGTCGTCTGTCCTTGATTGATTCCTGTCTAATTTGCCTCGTTTTGTGCCCTGATTAAGTGGCAAATGTTTGATGTTTTGTGAAATTGAGTTGATATCTTTCTGCCACAAAATAAAACCCCTGACACACATGACATCGAAATTGGTTTAGTCTAGCTTTTGGACTCGGCATTTTATTATTTGCGCATTTATCCCCAACAGCCCCATTTGTGCCACACACGCCACATATTTCTGATGCCAATTTAACGCGACATTTTTTGTGTGCAATAATCAAAAGTTTAATTTATTGCAGCCAACCTCCGGAGTGGGGCGGATTTCTAATTGGATTTTCCAACGGATTTTGAGGTTTTCTGTTTCATAATTGGAAATATTATTAGATTTGGGTTTCGCGATCCCCCGATTCGCCAAACGAGATGATTATTTAATTGGAATTCGCTTTTCAAAAAGGTGCAACTGATTTAGATATTTATGAATGCTTTTATTATTATTACTCATTGAATTCGTGATTAATAGAGTCTGTTCCGCATTGAAGTTGGAGCTTTTGCTTGGGGCTTGAGAGTTGTTCCTCTTAAAACATTTAGCATAAATGTCCTTCTTTTTGTTTTAAAAGTTTTTGATGTTTAAGTCAACATTTAAGTCGACTTTCGTAAGCCCCCATCCCTAGCTGTTTCTCCGGCAGCTCTACCATTCTCCCAGCACATTTGTAATTAACACCTTCAGAAAAGATGCAAAGTTTACGTGACTCATTAGCGATGGAGACTCGCAGAGACTTTAACAGCGAGAGAGAGAGGAGACCTATACGAGAAAAAGAGTATTTCTCTTTTTGAGATATTCCCAGAGAGGGAGAGATGAAAGCCAAGCCGAGACTAAGCCGAGTGTCGACTGAAAATCAGGAAAATCAGTGGCTTAAACAATGCGGCGGGGGGTAAGGGTTATGGGTGTGAATTGTGGAATGAGAAATGTGGGAGGAGATGGCCCAAAGGCTAAGGGGGAAGCGCGGTAACCGACTCTAAAGTCTGGTGCTAAATTATTTATGAATGCCGTTGCCGGCGGCCAGCAACGCACACAATTTGGAGCCCATTTCGAGGCACATTAAGTCACAGATGAGAGCCAACACCAGAGAGGGGCAGAGGTGTAGAGAGAGAGAGAGTGAAAGCAGCTACACAGAGTGCCATGCCAATTAATTATTCATAATTAGCTGCTGACTAAATGTTTAACTAAATCAGAGGATGTCTCTGCGATGGTCTCGCCTTCATCTTCATGTCTCTCTCCAGCTCTCTCTCTCTCTCTCTCTCTCTCTCTGGTGACTCTTGCTCTGGTGACTCTGTCCTCTGTAGAGTATTTATTTAAAAAATTACATTAGAAACTGAATCCGAGAGAGAGTGAGAGTGAGCGACGGATAATTGTTTGCCTTTGGGTCGAAAGCTAAATTAAAAGTTGGCCATTAGAGAGGGAGCCAGAGCCAGAGCCAGAGCCAGTGCCAGAGGCAGAGGCAGCGGACGGGGGCACAGCATTAATTGTGATTTATGTGAAAGGTTTTATGCCCTCATTCTGAATAAAACATTGCACTAGGACTGCAGGCAGGACTCCGAGTAGATGGGGAGCCACCTGGATGATAGATGACGAGTGGAACCTTCCATATGCTCGTAAAGTGGGATGGAAAAGTGGGAGTGGTTAGAATTTACTCAAATTATAGCCGTAGAAGTTTATGCGGAAACTTTACTAAAAAGTGCTCTCGAAAAAAACATAATTTTAAGAGCATTTTTAAACGCATCTAAGAATTTGAGAAGTTTCAAAAAGAGACTAAATGAGGAACCACCTGGAGAAGATGAGTACCGGGGCCTCAAATGGAATGTACAGCCTTTGAATTTATTATTTACTCACTGAATGAAAGACCAGAAAAGTTAAGATTATCTTTAGTAAAAGTTTGTTGATTACGAAAAGTTCTTTGGATTAATTTATCTTTCATAAGGAATACCCTATTTTCGGCGTAAAGGTTGCAGCTTTTAGGGTATCTCCGGAAATGAATACTGAAAGTTTTAGCAGGAAATTGAAACTGGGAAGACTTTTAATTCTACTTTCATCTCCACTGCCACCCTTTCAAGCGGCAAGGAAACCATAGAGAAAAGTTCCCAAAACAACTGGAACACGAAAGTTCTGATCGGAGGACCAATAAGTTTTAAAAGACGCCCAAAATCGTACCAGAAATGCATTTCGGTTCGGTCCTTAGAACTTCCCCGAAGTCCTGCCCTGTCCATTATCCCGCTTTCGTTTCATTGAATTGCTAATGAGAGCGGAGTTTTCCTCCTGAATGGAGGGACAGCCTTCAGAATTAATTGCCAGAATAGGAATTTTCTCATTCGGCAAAACCACTTTACCGACGGCTCTTACTCCTTCTCTCTGCTGCTGCTCTCTCTCCCTCTCTGTCGCGTCTCTTCTCTCTATTTCTCTCTGTGATGCTCTGATGCTTGATTCACCATTTGCATCCTGAGAAATTTCTTGTAGCAAGATGAGAATTTCACTTGACGCTTTTCCTCTTTTCCTGGGGAAAGAAGCACAGAGAATGAGGGGGAAAACCGAACGAACGGAGCCGCATGTCTAGCCGCTGTCTACACAAACATTCACACACACACACAGACGGGAAGCAGGCACACACAGATACTGTCGGGTATAGGTGTGTGTGTGTGTGTGTGTGTATAACGAGGAAGTGACTCCTGGAGACTCTTTTTCGAAGAAGAAAAACAAAGGAACAACCACCGTGCAGCAAAACAACTTCATATTTATGTAAATATTTAGCAAACAAGCAAAATGCTGATGGAGGGAGGCACGGTCAAATGCACACTCTCCTTTCACCCGGGGTTTACGAAGTGTGAGGCACTCAAGGCACCCATTTAAGCCACTGCCCCAAAAGAGGCCAGACTTTTGGGGGAATTCGTTAATGCAAATGGGGACACATCACAAGCACGTCACTGAATAATTTTTGGGGAATATTTCCTGATTTTCCTTGAACTGTTTTCTTTGCTGAAGTTTTTTTTTTCACTCTGTGTGTATTGCATATTTTTTGTTTAGTAAATAATTATTCTACTCACTCTGCAATGGATTTAGATAACGGCCAGCGCTCCATGGAGGCCTGATATTTCATATTCTCGATTTGCTTCTTTAATGCGTCCCGATCCATGTTTTGTAGAGCACTGGGATCCATGGCGGCTGAAATTTATCCACATGCCACCCCTGCAAAGAAACAAAGCGGCTGTGAGAGAGCGCCAGAGAGCGGTGCACACGTGCGTGTGAGCGCGGGAGAGTAAAGTTGCGTGTGTGTTGGCGAAAGCTGCACCACTCGCCCTGCCACTCGCTCGCTCTCTCTCTCCCGCTCTCCGTTTGTTGTGTGCTAATTTGTTGAGTTGTGCAGCAGGGTGCCTGCAACGCGAAGATAGTGCACCCTGTACGGCCCGGTCCATGCTTTTCCGCACTTTGCAGCCTGCGGAGCGAGCGACAGAGGGAGAGGCGACTGCGCAGAGCGTGCATAACAAATCAATACAGAGAGAGAGAGAGCAAAAGAGAGTTAACAGTGCCGCCTAAAAGGCTGCCATAAACTCTGTTGACACTCCGCTCCATCCACCCACGACCCACCACCCATCAAAGGGAGGAAAACCCATTTGTTTACAACGGTGACTGGCTCTGGCTCCGGCCCGGAAAAAATATAAAATATAAGGCTTAAAAAGGGCGCGTCCCTAAGAGGGCCAACAAATTGCGAATCCGAAATGCAAATGGTACGCGCCGGAGAAACTAAAACAGCTGATAGTATTTGAATCTCTCTCTTTTTCTCCCCTTTATCTCTCCTTCTCTTTCTATTGCTATCCATCTTTTTCCATCCCCGTTGTAGCCGGCTTATGTGCTGTAATTTATTAAATTTCCTTCATTTTCCTCCGCTTTTTCCCGGCAAAGTTGTTTCTCTTCCGCCTTCGCCATAAATATCCCAAAAAAAGGCGCGTCAGGAAGCGGACAAAGGAGAATTGTGCGTGTTCTCCGACAATTAGTTGTTTGCTGTTTACACTTCGGTCCGGCATTAAGGCACCTTCTCGGGGGTTAAGTTTAATGAAAAGATGGAGATAAAAGGGAGCATTTGGGAGAATATGAGATGATACAAGAAAGAGGAGGCAAATATTTACAATAAAATTACCTTTAGGGGTGGCTTTTGTTGAAGTTTTAATAAAAGTTATCTTAAATCAGAAACTGAAGGCGTTGCCTTTGTGTAAATTCAGAGAAAATTGTGCAATGGTTCCAAAATACTCTTTGAATTCCCCTTGGGGACTGAAAATCGTTTGAATTCCAATGTTAACCGTTAACAGCATTCTGTTAGGTTCGAGGTCCGCAACCTAAACAACAGAACGAGTCCAATGTTCGTTAACATTTCCATAACATCACATAGCCAGGACACGAACCCATCTTAACAGGAAGAACTTATCGCATGCTATAAAATAACAGCTCAAGCGATAAGTTAACATTCTGTTCAGCAGAAAATGTCCCGCATTTCATACTTTTGAACTGTCTTTGTGGCTCGCTAAATACGATAGGACAGCCTCTCTTTGTGGTTCCCTGAATAGGATGGGACATTCTCATAAAAAGCAAAAGAAGCCCCGAAACTCATCGAGAGACAATCAAAAACTAATACAAAACTCAAATAAAAAGCCGCAAAAAGAAACAAAGTGGCTTACAGCAAAAGAAAAACATTAGCAGCAGCAGACGCAGAAGCAGGACAAGGGCAGAGCATTCAAAGGAAGGTCTTGACATGGGACATCCACAAATGGGCGGATTGGAAGACTCAAACCCAGCGAAGCGACTCAGGACGAAACACGACACGCCACTGATGGGAGAAGGAGATGCCTGGGGGCAGGAAGCTGGAACCTGAAAGCTGGACACTGATGCACAGCTGACGATGTTCTAGGTGTAACTTTAAATACGAAAAAAGGACCCCCAGACCCCAAGGCCCCTCCCTGCCCTGCCCTTCTCTGATCCAGAGAGCACAGTGGACAGAGAGTCCTGTCCAGTTTGATACATCATTTTTTGTCGCTTCGCTGGATAACTTTGACACAGGTCCTGTGTCCATTGTTACATCTCCACCCCCCCCTGCGCCGAGCTGTCCCCCTTTTTTCACAGCTGTCAGGATGCTAAAGGATTTTAGGCTTTAACCCAGTCTGCTGCCTCGACGAAAACTTGCTCCTCCATTGCCTGCGGGCTGGCTCTGTGTTTCTCCCCGTCTCCCTGGCTGTGTTTGTGTGTGTTTTTAGAGAAGCTTATTGCCCAGGACCCACTCGAGGGAGGAGCACTTTTGGCCAAATGTGTTAATGGCAAAAATTGTTGTAAAACAGCTCAGATTTAATACGAGAACGGAGCGCCAGAGAGCAGGAGAGTGTGTAGAGCATATGTATCTGTGTGTCCACCGTGGCCTGTGCTATCCTGGCCGGCATGTCCTTGCATGTGTTGACAGCGCTGACCAGCAGCAGTAAAAGCTTTACACATTTCCGTTGGTTTAATTAAAACTTTTGGAAGTTGTCCTAGCAGAAAACAGGATTCGCCAGCAAATATAGGAGAAAGCAGCAGCCAGAATGTGGTGCAAAGATGAGAGGAGACTCTCCAGGCAAGGATGCGAATAGATATTAGTCTCAATCCCCACATTTGAGGTGGGCGAATTCCCTTCCCTAACCGCAGAGTGTGGAGGAGTGGCAGAGATATTGATAGATAGAACACAGCAGCAGCGGCCTTCCCCTTTCATCATTAGTTCCGATATCCACTTAACGTGGCTTGGAGTCCTCTCAACAAATGCCAAAGGATGCCTCCATCCCTCCTGCCACAACCTCAGGCCACTTGGAGTAGCATCCACTAATCCCCGACATCATCGTTTCCACTTAGACTGCATCGCCAGGGAGCGACAGGGAGCGGCTGGGAGCGGCTGGGAGCGACAGGGAGCGGCCCCCGTTTAACCTCGATGGCAAATCTTCAACGTAAAACTAAACTAATTGCTTGGAGCTATTGCCGCAGAGTGCCATCGACTGGCTCTGCTGCTGCTTCTCCTGCTGCTGCTGCTGCTGTCCTGAATGTCCTGAAACCCAATATGATGGTGGCATGATGGCAATGCGCCATTAAGCGCACGATGCAGCAGAAACAGAAGCGCCCACGAGACTGTTCGACTGAAAAAGTAGCAGGAATTTATCTGCGAGGACATGGAGGAAACGGCGGACGAGGAGGAGGACGAAAAGGGAGAAGTGAGCATGCAACGGACATAAATCGTTAGCAAAATGTTTTTGGCGGTTACAAGCGGCAGCCACAAACCAAAAGAATCCGCTCCTGCTCCTGCTCCTGCGCCACCGCATGCCCTTCGCTCAAGTGTTTCGCGTGTGTGTCAACAGGCGTTCAAGTTTTTTGACACTCTCCCCAGACCGGAGAACCCTCTGCCGCCCACTCACCCGTCTTCCAGCCAGGCTAAAGCCTCATAAAGCACAGGACCTTCCCTGTGCTCTCTTTCTGGAAACGACAAGGACAACTACACCATGAACAAAATAGTTTGTTGATAATTATTCAGTGTAGGACATACCGTACTGTACTCTACTGTACTCTACTGTACTGTACTGCTTTAAATATCTATTTTTCATATTTGAAAACATATATTTTAGGTCCACCCATTGGTTTTTAGGCTCCATAGATTGTTTTCTTATTTTTCGCCAAGTGTACGACAATCCAAAAAGTGATTCCCTTTCTGTCCTGCCACTGCCACTGCCACTGATTGTTGTCGGGGTCTCTGGCTCAAAAAAAAAGAGAAAACAAATTGTGGAGCTGCTGTCGAGGCCTGGCTGCTGCCTGCCAAGGCAGTTACTCAATCTAGGATCTAGATGCAGCAGCAGGAGCAGCACCAGCAGGGGACAGGACATCCCATAAGTATATATATGTAGTTATCCTGGCAGCCATTTATGTACTCGTTAATAGATATCCGCAGCAGCAAATTGTTGCTCGCAATTTTTACAGCAATTTGGGCATTTCCTATTCGGTCCGCTGTCCCCAGTCCGCTGTCCCCTGTCCACTTTGAGGTCCTCCTTCTTGGATCCAACGTCTTGATATTGTTACAATAATTGGCATTAGCCGGAATGTCCTGCGGAGGAATGTCGTCCTTCTGCCTTGACTGCGGGCGGGTGCCAGAAACGATTTCAGCTTGTTAGCTTAATTTTAAATGCGGAAACTTTTCGCCCAACACGAAAGAAATACTTTGGGGCATATTTTCATTGTTAGCCGAAAGAAAAAGTTGTAAGGTGAGGAAAACTCTTAAGAATTTCAAGGAAATATTCACGAAATTCGCTAAGTAAAAAGTGTAACAAGAAATTAGCATATGAAAAGCGGCGCAAAAAGGGCGAACAGGCAGAGTATCCTCTAATTGGACGACCGAAAGGCATTTGCGTGGGCAAGGGTCACTATTTGCAGAGGTCATCACTGGATTCTGGTGATGTCTGGCTCTGCCCGCAAGGGACTGATTAAAAGTTGAAGAAATTAGTAGAATTCTTGATTAAAGAAGTGGTCTGCATCCAAGAGGTGGCAAATTAATCAAAATTCAAGTCAAATTGATGAAGATTCTCACTTCATCCCTCTCCCCCAACGAAAAGTTCTGGCAAGTGGTTCTGCCTGCTCTCTACCCACGGAGTAATCAAATCACAATCATCTGCCAACCATTCACATTTAATTATAAACCAAAAGTTGTGCTTCGAAACTTTCGAAATGCCGCTTGTCACGTTCTACGGAAAGAGAAGTACTCTTCCTGGTTCCAAACATCGGGCGGGACAAATATTTATCCAGTCATTAGCGACGTTTCATTCGGTTACCTTTTTGGCTGACAGACACTTAAGCGGAGCCGAAACTAAAACAAAAACTAAAATTGAAGCCACAACAAGATACGACGGAGAGCGACAAACATTGCCGGGAAACTTTTCCCGCGAACTGGAAACGCGACTAACAAGAACCGCAAACAAGCTGCCAGTCGGAGCCATGCGGCGATGAAGTGCGTTCGAGGCACATCGGCTAAATCAATTTGCAGAGTTAAATAATTAAAACACAGTATGACGCTGGGGTTTTCGGGGTTTTCCAATCAGTTTTCCGAGTGTGGATGGGCCGGCGGCCCTTCTGGCTTATTAGCGAGGCTTAGAATTCGTTAAATTATGGCCAACAAATTCCAAATTTACATATGCCAT